CCAACCACCAGTAGTTAACAAGAAGAAGAAGAAGCGAAGCAGCGTAGCCGGGTGTAGCAGAAAAAAAATCAGTTGTGGAGTATGGCAAGTGGGAAAGAACAGCAATTGGAAGACGCAGCAGCGCTTTATAGGTCTGCTGTATGGGACCACTTTGCATTTAGAGTGACCTACGATGACTGCGGAAAGAAACTTGTTTATAAAAGTGCAACAGTGTGCAAGCATTGTGCAACACGTTTTGTTTATGCTAACAGCAACATGTCAGGCTAACCCCGAAATCTCACATACTCCGTCAGCACTCCGCTGTGCTCCAGACCGCCTGCTCAAAGTTCCTTGGAGATAGTAAAGGGCATGCGCGAGATGATTAAATTCAAAGCAGCAAAACATGCAGAAATGATCGAGGGTTTCCGCGGATCATTAAAAATAATTACAATTCATTATTTTTTGGGGGATTTTTTTCAATAATTTCATTAATTTTTATGGGATTTCGGGGTAACAATCAACATATACCGAACCGAAAACCGTGACCACGAAACCGTGAACTGAACCGTGGATTTTGTGAACTGTTCCACCCCTAATATATATACATTTTGTCACCTTTAGCTGTTGTACGTTTCTCTTCAAAACCTTGATTTCTTCTTTGTAGTTGCTTTCCAGCACTTCAATCTTGTGAGCTTCACTCTTTATCCATACATCATTTTCCTCTTTCTGTTCATCCATTTTTTTCAGCAGATCCTCTTTCTCCCTTTCTAGATCTTCAACCTACAAATGTGAAAAACACAGTAGGAAGTCCACAGTTATCAGTTGCATCTGGAAACAAAGAGTGCTCTCTGATGGAGTTCTAACTAATATCCAATACCATAGTTTAAGCCAGAAAGAGTTGAAATTATTACATACAGCTTATTAACAAAAAAAAAATATTCATTGTAAAAAGTGATAAACTGATGCCCTTACCCTTTTTTCTAAATCCACCATTTCAAGTTCAGATTGTAGCGCCTTTCTGCTGCCATAAAGAATGCTGCTTTCAATCATCTTCTGGTAGGTTTTGATGGTCATTTGACTCTCGCCTCTGACTCTCAGCAGAAGCAGACCCATCTCAGCACAGGTTATGGTGCTCTGCCTGATTAATTCATCTAATGGTGATAGAAATGAATGCATTGTCAAAGTTATAAGTGATCCAGTCTTGTGTAATTTTGACAAATATGTCCATGTAGATAAAAAATTTACTAGAAATCCTAGGTTTGAATCTACATACAACATTTACATGAATTTCAAATGTTTGTTCCATCTAATCTTTAAAATAATTGTTCCAGGTGGAAAAAATTACACATTTTTTTCCATTTCAGTTTAAAATGCACTAATACATCTCCAGAAATATTTGAATAAACAATCCTTTCCAAGAGTCAGAGAAACTATGTTCTGTCTGTAGATATTTCCAAGCTTTTTACTGATTATCTTTGGTGCTTTAGCTACTTTTCCAGGCATTGTTAATCTAAATTAAAATAGTTTGTACAGTTTGGCACAGACCCAGCTTTTAATCATAGCCTATAACAATTAACTTTTTACCATCTTATCTCTTAGCCAAAGCCACAGAAAGTTGGACAAAACAATTTTTTCAAGGATTCCCTAGCTGGGCTACTT